AATGAATTTGTGCCCATTAAGCCAAAACTGCATTTATGAGGTGATGATGGACAAGAAGACCCGGTTTACAACCAGCATTCCAATGTAACCCAAAAGTGTTCAGTAGGGTTGAGATTAGGGCTAAGTGCAGGCCATACGACTTGCACCACACCATGTATTTGTGGACCTACTTTTGTGTGGGATGCTAGGACATAAAAGGGTCAAACTATTGCCACAAGGTTGGAAGCACACAATTCTCTAAAAAGTTTCTGAATGCTGTGGCATTAATAGTAGCCTTTAATTAAAACACCCCAATCATCCTTTTAGAGGGATGTCCACATGATTTTAGCATGCAGTAGGTGTGCTGGCAAGATATCCACAATCATTTGCTCATATAGTGTATTTTAGGCCCAATATGGCTACGACCCACCTGTTTATGAAGTGCTAACTACGACTTCTACCGATTAATATTTGTTTTGATATCAAATGGCCGCTATGGACAAATTTGACTGTATAAGAGTTGCATCTGATTTTACAAGCAGTCTTCTGTTGTCATCACCTGTGTAATTCTAGCCTTGGCGCCACTCGCCCAGATTTTACAAACTTGGTCAAATGTATCTATTGCAAATACAGTGGCACCTCGGTTCACCAACTTAATTCGTTCCACGATTCTGGTCGCGAACCGAATTGGTCGCGAACCCGAATTGAACTGTAATCAGACTGCAATCTCGACTAAAGGAAGCCACGACCACGTGTCAGAGCGGGGAAGATGGCTGTGGTTGTGTTACTCACCCAATGCGGAGTTCGCGAACGGAAGCAAAATTTTGCCGAACATCCTGTTCGCGAACCGAATTGTTTGCGAACAGAAGCGTTCGTGAACAGAGGTACCACTGTACTGCTAAAACTGCGTTACCTGAATAAGTTCAGGAATCCCAATCCTCAGAATGTAAGGCCAGAATTTTATCAAGCAGATATTTAATGTGCCCATTTAGCTACATTATGTACGTCCTAACACAACAGATTCTGACTTTTACTGTAATTGGAATATTTCTAGACCAGCAAGAGCTATAGAAGCATAGAAACAATGGTGCAATCTACCATTTCGGATAGGATTATAATCTGTACTGTGCACAGGATTAGCTGATGCAGATAATCCCCTGGAACAAAACCACAAGTCTATAAACCGTCGATGCTGATCTGATTAAACAGCATATTCTGATCTCTGTTTACTGTGGACAGGCAGAGATCTACTTTGTAGCCACAGGAAACACTTGCATATAACGGGGTCAGAAGCTGTTGTATTCTACATAGGAAAGCTTAGAAAAAGGAAGAAAGAACAGAAAGAACCTTGTTATCGGAGGCGAGAAGGCGCTGCTGCGTGATCACGGACGTGCTGTGCAGACACTGAGAGGACGTCACATGACAACACCAGCGGCCAATCAGAGACAAGACGGACACATGAGCACAGAAGAGACAGGATGGAGGGAAATAAATTACCAATCACAGAGCACAGATGAGAAAATGGAGAGCACTTTTGTTCTCAATTGAGAATAAAAAAGTGGGAACCATTAAATTGTAGCATAAAAATATAAAAAGAATATAAAAAGCATTAAATAAAACATCAAACTGCAGCTCACAAGATAACAGTAGCATTGCAATAGGATCCAAACTGGTAGATCCTTTTGCAGGAAGCAGGTATATGATACGCTGAGGAAGCCAGCCGTATCACAAACAGATACAAAGCACAAAAGAGAAATCGTGAGACGAAGAGGAAAGAGAAGGAGGAAAGAGAAGGAGGAAGTGATACAGAAAGGGAGATAGACGGGAGACAACAGTGGGAAGGGGAGAGAGAGCAATAATAAGAAAATAGACATAAAGAGAAAGCAAGAGAAAATGAAGCAAACAAAAAAAAAAAACATGAAAAATATAAACAAGCCAATATAAAAAGGTGCACAAATACACTGAAAAACGTGGCAAAAGCAAGGTAAGAGAATGTTACAGTATATCTAAACCTGTGCAGGAACTCATCTTAAGAGAAGAACTATGGGGTAAGTGTTTTACCCCATAGTTCTCCTAAGGGTCACGGGAGGACATAAACTAGCGTTCTCCCGTGACCCAAAGCTCAGTATATAGTGAGCTAAAGCTCGCAGTATACCGAGACCGCCACAGACGGGACGGATACCGACATTGCTGTCGAGATCCACCCAGCTGCGTGATTGACAGCTGGCTCTGCCTATCTAGAGGCAGAGCCAGCTGTACCCACCCCCTCCCCCGTCCGTTCCTCCAGTTAGTGCTGGAGGATCGGAGCGGGGAGGAATCCCTGCAGGGACATGATCGAAAAATGAGCGAGCGACGGTATGCGTTCGCTCACTTCCCAATCAATTGAGCCGAACTATGAGGTTGAGTGAAAATCACTCACCTCATAGTTCTCCTTTAAACTTGGGTCCATACTTTGTGTTTCTAGTGTAGGTGTATGGTCCCATGTAAGTCTATGGGGAGGTACTGTGCAGGCGTAACCTTCACTCAAAAGGCTTTGAGTCTGAGGATATACAACACTGGAGATGGCCACCATCATCAGAGAGTAAAACCGGGTATACACACTTTGAATTTTGGCCAGGTCTTGATGAAACAGCAAAAAAAATGTTGTCACCCTTCCGCCTGGCATCCCTTGATCATCTGACTGAAGGAGCCAGTTGTAGGATTCTTGACCGTACAGAAATAGCAGCCATTCAGCTTCTAGCTCGGTTCGGGTATTCTGACAGTTGCAGGATGAACAACAAAATATAGAGGAGTGTATACCTGGCTCCTCGGTTAGAGTAAAGGTGTCCATACGTTCGATTTCTGAACTAAATCGGGTTTTCGTACGACAATCGGCCAGTTGATGGGAAGTGAATGATCACAATTACTGTACAACTGGCCGAATTTCCCTGATCGGTCAGGCTAGAAAACTTTTTTCAAATTGTAAAAAAAAAAAAAAATCGATGGATTGGTGGCGTTTTCCTAAGACGAAAATCACAACATGAACGCTGCACATGTGCAAAGGAAAATCCGTTCTGTCGATCAACGAAATTCGGTCAGTTAGTATTGCTAACGAGCGATAATTGAAATCCACAAGGGTCTGTGCATGATGGGGCAGTCGTGTGTAAATCGAAAGGCTGATCGATGACGGCGTGATACAAATCGAACGATAATTGTAAGGTGTATGGGCACCTTAAGAGTGAGAGGGAGGGCTGGGTTTGGGTTAGATTAAG